GAAAAAAAAAAATAAATAAATAAACAAAAATGCTGTCTGACTCCCCTTGAGGAAAAACTGAGGTCCAAAGAATGATCTGCCAAAAATCACAGAGCTATTGGCAGAATCAGGACAAGAACCCAAGGTTTCTAATTCTGAATACAATACACCCTGCTTGCTAATTCTAGTCTTAAAGACACAAAATGATTTTTCATATATATATACACACACATACACGTACTTTTTTTGGAGACAATCTTGCTCTGTCGCCCAGGCTGGAGTGTAGTGGAGCAATCTCGGCTCACTGCAACCTTCACCTCCCTGGCCTTCTGCCTCAGACTCCCGAGTAGCTGGGATTACAGGTGCCCACCACCACACCCAGCTAATTTTTTAAGGGAAAAAAAAAAAAAAAAAAAATTTTTTTTTTTTTTTTTTTAGTAGAGGCGGGGTTGTGCCATGTTAGCCAGGTTAGTCTCGAACTCCTAACCTCAAGTGATCTGCCCACCTTGGCCTCCCAAAGTGCTGGGATTACAGGCATGAACCACCATGCCCAGCCGATTTTTTATGTATTTTAATGTCTGAGAAGGTTTCGTAAGTTTTTTTTCCCATTTTAAGTCTTCATTTGTATTCATTGTACAGACTCCTAAGCAGACAGCATACTTTTCTTTGATGTCATCCATTGTTTTCTAAGATTATGAAAAGGAAATATATAATAAGTAGCCCAAAAACAAAGCAACAATGCTTTAAAAACAAACAGTACAGTCCCCAATACCCCAAAGCCACAAAGCAAGTAGTCTCTAGATTTTGAATCCTAAGAAACTACCTTTTAACTAATTAACATGTTCCTCTGGTAAAGAAACACCACATTTCCTACAATTCTACTTAGGCTCATGCTCACTAAGACAAATGAGCTTCTCCAGGGCGAGTTTTCCTGCATTCCTCAATGCCATTATTGCAGTTTCCCTCATACTTTTATTTTCTGCTTGAAAGCCATCATTTTCTTACTTTCTTGGAGCCCTTCATTTGGTGGTTTTCTTTTAGAAGGCATTATCTCTCTTTCTCTCTCTCTCCGTCTTAGAGACAGAAACTCATAATTTTCATCATGGTAAGCCTGCTACCTTCAAACTCTACAGCACAGCCCCCTGAACTAGAATGCAAATGCTGGGTGGCTGTATAATCCCTAACGAGGGTACTAGTTACAAGTGGTACACAACTGTCTCATAGTGTGCCCATTTAAAGTTCCCATATTGGCAAAATTACAAATTACTATAGACATAGACCCTTGAAAGAGCTGGCAATTAGGCCAGGCACAGCGGCTCACAACTGTAATCCCCACACCTTGAGAAGGGAAAGCGGGAAGATCACTAGGGCCCAGGAATTTGGGACCAGCCTGAGCAACATAGGGAGACCCCATCTTTACCAAAGTAAAACAAAATAATTTAAAAAATAGCTAGGAGTGGTGGTATATGCCTGTAGTCCCAGCTACTGCAGAGGCTGAGGCAGAAGGACCACAGCCCAGGAGTTCGAGGCTGCAGCGAGCTATGATAATGCCACTGCACTCCAGGCTGGGTGACAGAATAAGACCCTGTCTCAAAAATAAATAAGTAGGCCAGGCCTGGTGGCTAATGCCTATAATCTCAGCACTTTGGGAGGCTGAGGCAGGTGGATCACAAGGTCAGGAGATAGAGACCATTGTGGCCAACATGGTGAAACCCCATCTCTACTAAATATACAAAAATTAGCTGGGCATGGTGGTACGGGCCTGTAATCCCAGCTACTTGGGAGGCTGGGGCAGGAGAATTGCTTGAACCTGGGAGTCACAGGTTGCAGTGAGCTGAGATCATGCCACTGCACTCCAGCCTGGGCAACAAGAGCAAAACTTTGTCTCAAAAAAAATTAAATAAAATAAACAAAAATAAAAAGGCTCAAGCCTGTAATCCCAACACTTTGGGAGGCTGAGGTGGGAGAATTGCTTGAGCCCAGGAGTTCAAGACCAGCCTGGTCACATGGCAAAACCCTATTTCTACTAAAAGCACAAAAATTAGCCAGGCGTGTAGCACACACCCATGATCCCAACAACTTGGGAGGCTGAGGCATGAGAATCGCTTGAACCCAGGAGGTGGAGGCTGCAGTGAGCCGAGATCGTACCACTGCAACTCCAGCCTGGGTGACAGAGTGAGACTCTGTCTCTAAGCAAATAAATAAAAGTTAACAAATTTGGGCTGGGTGCAGTAGCTCACACCTGTAATTCCAGCACTTTGGGAAACCAAGGTGGGGGGACCACCTGAGGCCAGGAGTTCAAGACCAGCCTGGCCAATATAGCAAAACCCTGTCTCTACTAAAAACACAAAAATCAGCCAGGCATGGTGGCACACGCCTGTGATCCCAGCTACTTGGGAGGCTGAAGCACTAGAATTGCTTGAACCAGGAGGTGGAGGTTGCGATGAGCCAAGATTGT